CCTCCCGACGCTCGCGCTGCGGGCCGATGCGCCTTGGTCACTTCTTTCCCCACCCCCCCTCCCCCCTCTCTCGCCCCTCCTCCCCCCCCCCTCCCCTCCCCCCTCCTCCCCCCCCCCCCCCCCCCTTGCCCCACTCCTCCCCCCCTCGCCACCTCGCCCCCCCCTCCAATCCTGCCCCCACGCCACGCTTCGCCCTCCGCGGCCGCGCCTCGCCGCCTTCCTCGCCGTCGCCGCCCTGCCCGGAGCGTGGCACCGCGTCGCCGGGGCCGTAGGCGCCGACGGTGAGCTGGCGGGGCAACCGGGGGGAGGCGCCGCGGCGGCGGCGGCAGCGGCGGCGGCGGCGGCCTGGCCAGCGAGTCGCGGAGGCGCCCATCTCTCGGCGGCGGCGACGGGCGGCGGGGCCGGCGGCGCCAGAGGCGGCGACGTCGGCGGGCGGCACGGCTGACGTCGACGGCAACGGCGGCAGCGGCGGAGATCGGCGGGCCGGGCGGGAGGTGCCACGACGACAGCGGCTGCAACGGCAACCGTGCTGCCGTCGACGACAACTCCAGCGACAGAGATCACTTGAAGACCATTCGTTCGTCCTGGCTTGCGCGCCACTCTTCTATGTGCGCATCCCTCTCCCTTGCGCCCGCCCTCCAAGCCTATGACCGTACGCCCTTTTAGGCGGGCTCTCTTCATCATTCTGGCATCCCCTGAAGAGATACGAGGAGGCACCCAAGAAACTCAGACGGCTCAAGAGGCCCCTGAGACAGCCCAGCAGGGCCCCCCAACCACCTCCAGACAGGCCCCAGGAAACTTCCATGGCGTCTCAAAGGGTGCTCATCGGCATGGTCAGCATCGGCGCCATCATTGGCCTTGCCAGCGTTATCGTCAACATCGTCACCAGAATGGCGACTCTCATCATCGTGCCTGCTGTTGCCGACGTCGCCATGATACCGCGCCCGCCCGAGTCACCGACTCGCACCGGAGTGCCTGCCCGCGCGCCAGGGCGGCCTGCGAGTTGCGCTGAGAGGTCCCCAGAGGTCCGCGCCACCGCGGTCGCGTCGGTCGCGCCCGACTAGCTGGCCGCTCCACGCGCGAGCTAGTCTGGCGCGACAGACGCGGCCGCGGCGATGCGCAAGCCAGCTTCGCGTAGTCATCGCAGTCCCCGCCGCACGGGTGTTGCAAATCAAATTGAGGAGACTGCACTACCTACGGCCTACGGGTGCCTGGCCGAAACACAAAGAAACACATCAAGCTGACAAAGTAGCCGACATCAGGCCAAGTAAGATACCCAAGACAGTAGCAGACGGCAACGATGACTGCGGCGAAGACCTTGAAGGTCTTAACTGCACCGTTCATTCACGTTCCAATAAAAAAGATGGTGCTGATTGATGATACTAACGTATTTTTGACGCGACCATCGCTCGCGGACGCGCATGCTGACGTTTTCACGAGCATACTGGACATGCCAACACTGTCGACATGGTGGAACTTTGTGGGGGATTTGGCGGGATCCCACTTCTAGCCTTGAGAATGAACCTGCCACCTGGACGTAGCATTGCCAAACGTACCAACGTGGACCCCGGGAAACCGCAGGCCCAATAAACTGTTATCCAGTACCTCAACACATGCTGGGTTACCAAAGTTGCTTGAATCTTCCCATCCCTCCTCCTGCTCTTTACTTCTCCCGGGTCGCGGGGGGGGGGATTGCGTGGCCGCAGCGGAGGGACTTATGACCGCACTTATCCATCTGGTGGGCCGCGCGTCTTCGAATGCCCTGCTAAAAACTCCGGGCCGTCCACATAGACACGCCATTCGGGCGGTCGGGGTGTTACGATAACACTTCCTTGCAATGATCACCCGATGCCTGAAGGCTGTAAAAGTTTCAAGATGAGGCTCTCGCCTGGCACCTGCTCAACAGTGGCAACTATCGTAATGATCGAGGACATACCTTGACCGTTCAGAATGCCGCGTACTTCTCCATCCAGAATGCGACAATGATGCACCAAGCTCGAAGCGACTGCCTTCGACCTAGCTAGGGCTACTAACGGAAACAACCATGTGACCGTATCGAGGGTCGGAGACTGCTGGGATCACCACAAACGCAATCGTCAGACCTGTTAAACATGTCTCTACTGCACATATCAGGGGAGCTGCAACAGTCTCAAGACATGCAAGAGGAGGAAGACGGGAAGGTGGGTGAGGGAGGAGGGATGACAACGACCAGGAGGGGACGGCGGATGCGGTGGGGGAAGGACGGGTGAAAGAGGGAGGAGGGAACAGGGGAGGAGGTAGGAGGAAGTGGCGGAGGAAGGGGGAGGACGAGCATCGGGAGGAGCGAAAAGGGGGGAGGGAGGAGGAGGGGGCGGGGAGCGCGAGGCGGGAAGTGGAGGCGGAGGAGCAGCAAACGGCCGGCCGGGCGCCTGCACGAAGCCCTTGGCCTCGCCCGGCTGCTCGCTCAGCGCAATCGGGTACCAGTCTGCACGCGCGGAGGAGGAGGAGGAGGAGGAGGAGGAGGAGAAGGAGGAGGACGAGGAGGAGAAGGCGGAGGTGGAGGAGGAGGACGAGGAGGAGGGGGAGGAGGAGGAGGAGGAGGAGGAGGAGGAGGAGGAGGAGGAGGAGGAGGAGGAGGAGGAGGAGGAGGGGGAAGGAGGAGGAGGAGGAGGAGGAGGAAGAGGAGGAGGGGGAGCAGGAGGAGGAGGATGAGGAGGAGGAGGCGGATTTTTTTTGCCACCTTGGACCTCACCTCCACCCCTCTCAGTCCCTCGCACGGGCCTCCTTGGCCGCCACACGGGCACGGAGGGCCTCCAGGCCTGAGAGGGGCGACGCGCACGCTGGCGTCTGTTGGGGTCGGGACGCCACGGCATGCGCTCGCGCCTCGACCCTCGTGAGCGGAGCCTCGAGCTCCGCACAAGAAACTGAAACATCACGCTTCGGGTGCAGGCCTCTCCTGAGCCTTCGAAGCGCAGTGGTGCCTGCGTTGCTCCTGTCGCTGTCTCTCAAAGGCCTGAGACAACGTGACGAGAGCAGGTGCAGGCGGTGCTGGGCATAATAGCCACAGCTCATGCAGAAAAACAATGGACTTGATTCGTCCCCGACTTGTGTGCTGGCCAGAACATGGCCGTGCTCTGGTGAGATGGTCAGGAATTCTTCAACCAATCTGGGGAACCCCTCGCATCCCACCGTGGGTCGGTCGTCTAGTTTACCAGCATAAAACCTGAGGCAACTCGAGCACCGATGGCCCCATAGCCAGGTGTCCCAAGTGTGCCAACCTTCCGCACGCTTAAAAACTTTCTGCTTCTTGGCCCGTCTAGGAGGCCGTGTGTGGGTGGCCCTGGGAAAAAGCGGTAAAACCTCCGCGATAATCCGCGCCACCGTTTCGATTCTCTCGATCGAGCTCCTAACTTCGTCCCACTCGTTTTGGCTAGCTTGTGGGTGCAACAAAATCGCTTGCTTGGCTTCATGATCCGCGCGCCTGTTGGCACGACCTATGGACCTCTGAGGCTCTTCTAGCAGATCTATAATGGCTGAGTCCCTGTGTGCTGGGGTCCAAACAGCTGGGGCGTACGCATCTCGTTCCATGTGCTGCAGAGCTCCACGCCTGAGACCAGCATACTTGTGTTTGTGACTCAACTGCGACGCCGTGCTGGCATTGTGGAGCTTGACGGCGTTCATACAATCACTGTAGCAGGCTTGCCCATACTTGGGCACGAAAATCGGTAGCAAGGCCAGCTGGAGTTGCTCTGCTGCCTGGCTCGTCTGTGGAAAGCTCGGCCATACTGGGCATTTTGCAATTGCAACCTGCTCTCCGTCCCTTCCCATGAACACCCATGAAAAAGCTGCTCGTGATAGATCTCGAATCTGGTGCGGAAAACACGACCCGTCCCCCGCCACATCCAAATCCGTAGTATCGAAGTCCGCCCAATCCATTCTCCGACCCTCGGCACTATACAGATACGGCTCGTGCTGGTCGGACATAGGCGGCATATCTTTGACAGGGTTGACAAACTTTAAACCAGCGTAGAAGTCCTGCCCCCCTTCCCTCACCCACTGAATGAAGCTGTCCTTCACCCCCGTACTAGTCCTAGCCGCCGAGACCTCGGGGCTGTTACAAAAGTAAATCCTATGGGTAACAGAATCAGGCTCCCCGCACAGCGGGCAGCAACCCGTCGAATGGTAACCCGCCTGCTGCGCTCGATCCTCGGTCCAGAGCCCGTCGCAGAAGACCGTTTTGACCAAGTACTTGCCTTGGGCATTCAGTCCTATGCCTCGGAGTCTGGGCTGAGTGATACGTCGCAGCGGCTCGACACAAACGCGATCTCCATTAGGCCATCCGAGCTTCTGACCCAAGACCCGCTCGCGGTGCCTTTGCACCCCTTCTTTTAAAAGCGCAGAAATCGCGGCAGGGGAATTGTAAAGCAAACTCAACTCGACTCCCCTATCGTCGATCCAAATCAAAAACGAAGTCGTTTTCCACCCGATGCGAAAAAGCGACAACATCATCCGACTGATAGGGCCCCTCGTCTTCCCCCATTTCCACCCCTCGATTCCTTCCTGGGAGATGGAGTCCCACATGCTGCGAAGCTGGGGCAACGTGAAACTGGCCGTGCTCGGCGCCGTCGTGGTGCTCCACACAGCGGCTGCCCATGCGAGCGCAGGAGCAACCATGCTCCTCCACATCGGGTCACCTAACAGAGCAGTCTTGGCTGTGAGTGAAACCCCTCCATGACACGGCGCCTGATACGAAAGCATCACACCGCGCGCACGCTTAAGTTCAGCGTCGGACATGCCAGCCACCGCGTCGCCAAAACTGGCCGCGGGTTTAACACCAGCGGTGTATATCTTACCGATTCTATGTTTGTCCCTCGGCAGCGCTTCCCTATACCTCGGGGGCCTTCTGCGTCTACGAATCATGCCCACAACTCGGGCCGTGCGTTTACCAAGCGCTTGTTTGGCGCTGCGTTTCGCCCCAGGAGCCAAATCCACCCCGAGCGAGACCACGTGGGTCCCCACCGTCCCCGCCAGCGTTCCGAGCCTGCGTCCGACACGCAGCGACAGTTCGAGGGTGGAGCCAAAAGTCATGAGTTTATCGGGGGCCAAACCAACACCTAAATCTTCTTTAAAGACACGTTCAAGATCCTCGACTGCCTGGCCGAGCACTTTGACAACATGATCCGCCGCGCCATACGCGCTGACGGTGTCGTCGTCGACGCACGAGGCAAGGTCCACCGCAGGATTCCTGGCCACGAAGCCGTCGAACGGGACCATAGCGTAAACTTTAACGTTGATGTCATTCAGGCAGGATCCTGCTGGCAGCCCACACTTCGCGCACATCGGAGAAAGGCTGCGGTCCGAGCCCAGCCGCAAAACTCGAGGCCCGCGCCAAAAATTGTAGGTCACCTTGACCACGATGGGGTCGAGGCCAGCCTGCAGGGAACGATCCCTAAGCGTGGTGAGCCTGAACGACTCGTAGTACTTGGTGCCGTCCCAAGAGAAGCCTCCCGCGACACCCCCTTCGGCCACTTGGGCCTCAGCTTTGACCGCCTGCTTCCATATCTCCGCCTCCGCCGACTTCCCCGCCCCGGACGCCCAATACTTGCGAGGGTGCGCGTCGCAATACGGAAGCAACTTCGGTCGCCTGAGCTTTTCCCACAGGCGCACAGGAGAGGCACAAAGCAGGACAGGACGCAAACCCCCTTTTGGCTTCTCGAGGAGGGGGAAGAGCATCCAATACAGGGCCTTGGGGTAGACCCCTATCTTTTCAACCGTTTGAAAAAGACAACTGAGCACCTCGAGCCCCGCGCCGGGGAGCAGGCTGAAATGCCGCACATGCATGCCGTCGAGCGACTGCGCAGTGTGCGGTGAAAACCCTCTGCTGACAGCTCGAATGTCATCAGGCTTGAGCCTGCCAAAACAATCTCTGTCAAGAACCTCCAGAGGTTCTGGCATGGGCGTCGCTTCCCAGAACTTGCCTAACACGTTGGCTTCATTCGCGAGCAACTTACGCGGGTCGGCCGAGTAAATCCCAGGAGCAGTTCCGATGACGGCTGGCATCCAAGCACTTTTGTTCCGAGTGAGTTCATGCATCTTGCGTGCGGATCCACTGAGGGCTTCCGCCTGCCACTGGTCCCAGCTCACCTTAGCTTTATTGTCAAGGCCAGCTCGGGCTTCAGCAAAATCCTCCTCCCAATCGTCCAGCGCTTCCGTGCATCGATCGATCCACCCAGACAGATTAATCGCTCGCTGAGGCCAAGACTCCGCCAGGCGGCGGGCAACTTGCACCGTGGCGTCGAGCCGCGCAGCTCGGTCTTCATCTTCAAAAGGCTGCTGAACTATCTGTACTAAGTTCCTGCAGGCCTCGAGCTCGGCGTGGTCAACGAAATCGACCGCCTCATAAATGCGAATGCTTGTCTGTTGAAGGTCTCGCATGGTCTGCTGAAGCCAAATCCACCCTTCCCAGACTACAACCTCATCCTCGACCTTCCTCTTCGGGGGGGAGACAATCGAAACCCACTCAGCACACAACGGCTTGCCCCTGCCCCCTCTGGTCTTTAACGTCACCCCCACCAAATTTTCGAGCTCAGCTTCCATGACACCCGAAAATCGTTGCCAGGCCTCATTCAGCAGCTACCACGCACAAGTGACAGAAGCACTGCTGGCGTACATGTTGGCCTCCTCAGCCAAAGTCCTGGCAAATCTCCAATCCCGGGGTTTTGGTGACGGACCAAACGAGACCTCACACGGAATACGTTGGTGGGTTTGATAAACCAGCTGTTTGAGTTTAATCGCACCTTGCTTAAAAATAAGCTGCACTGGCCGATGAGGTCGCTTGGGCCAGTCCTTCACAACGTCGGTCTTGTCGACCATGTTGGCTACAGCTGGGGACACCACGAAGAAATCGATCCGCGAGTGAGCCTTCGACGTCACACAGGTTTCGATCTTCGGTTGGAGGATCAACATATCGGCTTTCCTCAACATCCCCGTGAACTCGATTATCGTCGGCCCCAGGTTCCAATCAGCCCCGAATATGGCCATGTGGTTCCCCTGGAGCGTTTCTCCGATCATTTTGAGCAACTCGAGGTTTCGCTTCGACAGCCCCTCCGTGGTGTACAAATACGCCACGCCAGCCAAAAGCGGCGGCCATCCTGGCACGTCTAACATCGCGAAGAGGAACCGATGTTCAACGAGTACCCCTCGCGGCAAGTGTGACGGCCAACGAAGTCCGATACTCGTCCTTGCAAAAATAGCTACTCCCGCCGACGTCTGCCCCGCATCGCAGGGTACCGAAGGTGTGCAGAGCATATGCCATCCCATACCAAGAGCTTTAGCAGTTTTGTCACCAACATCTTCGGCCGTGATCCCAATCTCCTGGGCCATCAAAACCAAGGCTGAACTCCTCGCAAGACGTTCCGAGAGCGTGCCCCAACTGTTACCATTATAGGACTCGCACACAAACTGGAACTTATCAGCCGTAACATCATCGGCAATCGGAGTTGGCGGACAGCCTGACCCCATGGCCGAAATCTTAAAACCAGTGCACAGCGGCTGGCCTGCAAACGGGGCCCGTCTAGACATCTTAACGTGTTCTCGGCCCCTCGTCTGATTCGGGCATCTGGTCTCGTGGCTCGAGACGCCCGAAAGTGGGAACCGCTCCTGGTGAAAGTCGCCGTCCGCGAGCTCCACTCGCCGAAGGCTGCTGCAACTGTCATGCCACCGCACCCCCGAGGGAGTGCTCAGAACACGACGTCCACGTAGTGCATCGCGATGTGCTCCGTCAACGACTCCCTGAATCTGTCGGTGCTGCCGTCGGTGTCCCCGTCGAAGGCGTGGCAGGTGCAGCTCCTGGCGAGGACACCCGTACCTTCTTGAACTTGGCGGCGACAAGCGCTTGCACGATAACTCTTTTATCACCACGGTGTTGATCCCAGAAACTTCCAGCCTCAGCGGTAGACCCGAAAGCATCATCCATTTGAGCATCACCAGAATCGTCATCTGCATCTTCAGCACGCGGCTCCTGCTTCGTCTTGTACTGAGAGTAGAGCTGCGTGAACTGCTTGAAAGCGTCCGTCTGGATGAGCTTCTTGACTTCATCTTTACCTTCCAACAAATGATCAGGTATCTTGAAATCAAGGTCGACCCCCCCAGCAACCAACGGAGACTGTTTGAGCTGTCCCCTGATCTCGTCGATCTCGGCCTTGAGCACAGCCTGTTTCGCCTGGAGCTCGTCACGCTTGGCCATCGCCTCCTTGATGGCCTTGTCCTGCTCCTCGGCGTCCTCGACTGCCTTTTTGAGTTGACTCTCCTTGCGCGCCAGCTTGTGACCCAAGTTGGTGTGCTGTGTGACGTCACTCTTCTGGCTCTCGAACTGCTTACGTACTTCACGGAGTTGAGCCTCGAGAGACTTGCGGGCTTCCTCCATGTATTCACTCTTGCATGCTTTGATGGCCGCCTCCAGCTCGTTGGCCTTGGCAACCAATGCATCAGGTTTATCATCTTTGTCATCAGCGCCACTTCCCTTCCCACCGCCCTGACCGTTGGCCGAAACGTCCTTGGTGGGCGGGGTCTGCTTGGTGAGCTGGTCCAACTGCTTCTGCATGGCGGCAAGCGTCTTGACCAGCCCGACGTCCTTGGGCTGCCCACGCTGAGGGCCACCACCACCACGAACAGGAGACTCGCCACCACCGAAAGATTTGGCGCGCTGAAGGACGTGTGCTGGTGCCGCTTCACCGCAGCGGCACTTGAGGCGACACGCCCAGTTACTCGTTCTTCCACAGGACTGACATCCCCAGAGAGGAAGCTTCGGTCCTTTGACCATGTCATTGTTCATCTGTGCTCCACCAGGAGCTCACTGAAATGAATCACTGTCGTACCGAGCCAAAAAGGCCCGCACCAGCTGCTGCCGCTCTGAAGAAAGCTGGTGCAAACCCAAAACTTGGGCCAGAACGGCTGAGGAGGAGGAGGAGGAGGAGGAGGAGGAGGAGGAGGAGGAGGAGGAGGAGGAGGAGGAGGGGGAAGAGGAGGAGGGGGAGAGGAGGGAGGAGGAGGAGGGAGGAGGAGGAGGAGGAGGAGAAGGAGGAGGAGGAGGACGACGACGAAGAGGAGGGAGAAGGAGAAAAAGGAGGATGAGGCGGAGGAGGAGGAGGAGGAGCAAAAGGAGGACGGGCCGCGGGGCGGCGTCCAGCCAGGGACCGGGCTGGGATTGGCGGGCGGGTGGCGGAAGGCCTCGGGTGCCCAGACCTCCGGCGGACACGTCGGTTCCATCGCGGAATCTGGCTGAGGTTCTACATGCGGAATCCGTCAGGTCGGGGCCCCGGGGCCCTCAACAGAAGAGCGCCCCGGACGAAAAGACTTATCCCGGGGAAGGGGTCGAGACCTCTGAGAGAGCGCGTTTGACGGGCGTTTGGCTGTGAAAGGCCCCCCCCTCCCTGAAACCAGAGGGAGGGGGGCACCCAAAAAGTTCGGGGCCGCCCCCCCTGGGGGGGGGAAAGAAAGGGGCCCCCCCCTCCATCCGGAGCGACAACGCTAATGACGACGACGACGACGACGGCGGCGACGACGACGAGGACGAGGACGACGACGACGACGACGGCGACGGCGACCGACGGCGACGGCGACCGACGGCGACGGCGACGGCGACCGACGGCGACGGCGACGGACGGCGACGGCGACAGCGAGACGACGACAAAGACAGCGACGAGCTGGTGAACCTATCGGGCGGGCGGGACATGAAAGGCAATCCTCATTTTGTGTTGGTGGACTGTCATGGGCTAATGTATCACGACCACCAAGGACACACATCGGGCCAGTGATGGAGCGTCCAACTTGGGCGGGGGGGGACGTTGTATATGCAACCTACACTGTGGAATGAGAAATTGATCACAACCGCAGAGACGCCGGTCGCGCGGGCGGGACATGCGAGGATCCATTCATTCAAACATGGGGCGCCCATATCGGGTGGCCAAGACATTAGATGCAACCTTCGCTCTGTGTTGGGAGAAAAACTTGGGAAAATGTATCACGACCGCCAAAGACGCCAGTCGGGCGGGCGGGACATCAAATGACATCTGTAACAAGTGATGGGACGTCCAAAGTTGGCGGGCGGGACGGTATACGCAACCTACACTGTGTGATATGAGAAAGGTAAGGGCACATCGCTCACAACCGCCGAAGACGCTGGTCAAGCAACGCGGGACATCAAAGGAACCATCCACTCAGAGAAAATGGGTGCCCATATCGGGCGGGCGGGACATTGAATGTAACCTTCACTCTTGTTTTAGGAGGTGGTCATGGGAGAATGCATAACGGCCGCCAAAAACGCTGGTCGGGAGGGCAAAACGTGAAATGGAAACCTGTATTCAGCGATGGGGCGTCCAAATTGGGCGGGCGGAACTTCTATACAACCTGAACTGTCCGGGATGAAGATGTTACAGGAAAACCGATCACAACCGCCGAAGACGCCGTTCGAACGGGCGGGACAATTAAGGAACCATTCGTTCAAACATGGGCCGTCCCGATCGGGCGGCCAGGACATGAAATGCAATCTACAATTTGTATGAGAATTACACAAGATATTGCATTTCGACCAGCGAAGACGCAGGACGGGCGGGCGGGACAGTATATGAAGCATGTCGTCGTCGTCGTCGGCATCGTACCCTGCCGCCATCGTCGTCGCCGTCGCGTGCGCTTGCTGACCCCCGTGGCTGTCGTCGTCGTCGTTGTCGTCGATGTCGTCGCCGTAGGGATTCTGGCGAAAGGACAGGGTGGAAGGTGCTCCCCCAGGGGGGGCAAGGTCCTCCCCCTCTTTTTGCCCTCCCCGTGGAGGCGGGCGTACCCCCAGGTTCTAGGGGGGGTGCTCCCCCCATCCCTAAGGGTTCGGAGCCCCGAGCCATTTTATGGAGGCCCCCCCCCGGTGGAGCCCGAGGGTAAAACTTTCTCAGCTCAGTTCAGTTCAGTTCTCAAGAAGGGGGGGCGGTGGGCCCAGTTCGAGCCCGGACGATGTCTTGCGTCTTGGACAATGATGGGGGGGTCCGCCGCCACGGTCGGGATTCGCCACGGCACGCTACCCAAACGAAAGGCACGATGTGAAAACGTTGGCGAACCCATGGTTTGTCTTACAAGCTCGGCAGAGCGAGCGCATTGTTTAACAAAGCGCGTTGCAAAACCAAATGTTTGGATATTTGTTCGGGACACTCACTTTGGCATGTGTGCGCGCGACAATCGCGCGAACTTCGTTCCTCTTTTGTTGCAGGGATGATTGCGACACCGCGCGCGCAAGGGCGTTCGAACGATTTGTACACGCGCGCGCGAGAGGCACGCTTGGCAGCATGTGATGGACATGTTGAACAACCTATGGCGTTCTTCGCGAGCGTATCACTTGACTGTTCAAACGCCTGAGACTGTTGACGTACCACTTGCCTGCGTACCCGTGCGGTCAACAGTCTGAGAGCGCGACCGACTGCAACCTATGACGAAAACCGACTGAGCGAGAGCGCGAACATGATTCTAAAACCCTGCTGCGACACGTCTCGCTGTTTACATTGATTCCCGACACCCGATGTTGAAATCCGACCGAGACCGGGAGATGTCGATGGATTCCGGCATGCGTACGACAACTCGGGAATGCGACCTTCGTTTCAAATTTGCATGGAAGGGATTCCCGAAAAGTGATGATTCCCGACAATTGAATACGCGCGCATCATATGTTCTGGCGGGATATGTCCTGAAGGGGGGGCGAGAAGTGTCTGCCTGGGAGCGTACGACTTCACATTTAAGATGGACGATGGGGTAAAATCGTAAGCACAATGCAATACGAAAAAAACCTTTTAACTCAGGGGGGGGCAGGGGATGTAGATCCGAGTGCTTTCTTGGTAATCTCTGTGGTGGTATAAGTGTTGAAAAAAACGTCGAATTATCAGCTCCGCTGCTCGCGCAATCATCCCACCCACCCACCCGCAACTTCGCTTGCAGGACCAATGCGGCGGCCATTGCGATGAGTGTTTCGTGTTGGCTGGTGCATTTTTCCGACCGCGATAGCCCGCGCAAGCTCGCGCGCACAGCGGCCAGCTAGTCTGGCCCAGCCGACGCAGCCGCGGTGGCGATGACTGCTGGGCACTCTCCAGCGGGCACCGAACTGCGGGTCGGTGATTTGGGCGGGCGCGGTAGCATGGCGACGCCGACGCCGGTAGACACGATGGTGATAGTAGCGGTACTGGTGACCATACGGCGATGATACTGACCACGCCAATGACGATAACGGTGTACTCGCGTCGGGGACGAAGTTTTTTGGAAGGAACTCGACATGCGATCGCGGCTGGCGCGCCTACGTGGCCCACGTTGTATGATTCGACGAGGATGACCCCCCCCTCCCTGCACGCGCGCCAGGGCGCCCGAACGATTTCAATATGCAGCGGCAGTGGCCCGTCTGGTGGCAATGTATGAAAATGCTGCGAAGCCCTGGTTTTCTACAGAATTGTCAAGACCTCGCGCAAACGTTCTTTGAAAACTGCTGTCGCAAA